TCAGAGTAGAGACGGGGACATATTCCAGGCAAGGTCACAATGGCATTTTGTTGCCCTCAATGCTGATTTTCACTGCGTGGGCAGATCTGCTTTTTTTCCTGATATCTGTGAACTTTCTCATCTGTTTATCCAGTCGACTGATACCCTTCTTGGAGGTCGCCTGAAACTAAGAGTAAGGGAAAAATTAAAGAGCAAACTACTGAAATACATAAGTCTAGTTTTGTCTTTCATCTTCTTATAACTGAAAGTTAGCAACCAGAGGAGCTCCTAGCTCTAGAGTAACCAGAATGTGTGTTGATGACCTCAAGAACGGAGCCTACAGACTGTTCTAATAGTATAACAAGAAACGCATATTAAACTTTCTCAACGAAGAATAATTCTGTTGTCTGTGCTTTATTTTTAATCTTGCTGCAGTCCCTGGAGGTCTCCTAGATGGGAGAAAGGGGGGGAAACTGAAACTACGATTCTCCATATTCCATCATGTACATTACATTTGAACTGCATGCTTCTCCCTTTCGAAGACCAAATGTGGAGCTAACCACTTGACATACACTTTCAAACAGTGCTGGCATAGAAAAGAATGACCTAAAACAAAGTCAAGTCAGCTGAGAAAAAGCCTTAAGCGTAATAAATGAGGTTAGATGATTAGTAAAGTGAACCCCTAAGTGCGGAAGCTCTTGAGATTTTAGACTTGGGGTGAATCCCTGCTCTGATGCAGTGACTTCTGTGACCCTGGGCAAAGCACACCCATGGTAGGTCCTCTTTCCAGAACTGCTGAGAGAAGGAAATGAGATAGTGATGTCAGATCCAAGCACAGAGGCTGAGCACATATAGTCAGTGTACAAAATAGTAGGAACTATTACTATTTTACTACTTCACAAGCAACTAGATTTACATTAAGTATACTTGACACAAAAAGAATATTAAGTCTTTACCCACTTGCCCTTTATGTTTAAAGGTTTGGTTTGGGGGCTATTTTATATTGAAAATACTGTCTTGCAAAGATGTGGTCTCCAAGAAACTGCCACCTTTTAGAAATGCTAGAAAGGTTTGCCGACTCTGTTGTAAAACAATTTAGATGTTTAAGAATGGTGAGTGCTTAAAAAGAGATGGGTTGGCCGGGCGCGGTGGCTCAAGCCTGTAATCCCAGCACTTTGGGAGGCCGAGACAAGCGGATCACGAGGTCAGGAGATCGAGACTATCCTGGCTAACACGGTGAAACACCGTCTCTACTAAAAAATACAAAAAACTAGCCGGGCGCGGTGGCGGGCGCCTGTAGTCCCAGCTACTCGGGAGGCTGAGGCAGGAGAATGGCGTAAACCCAGGAGGCGGAGCTTGCAGTGAGCTGAGATCTGGCCACTGCACTCCAGCCTGGGCGACAGAGCGAGACTCCGTCTCAAAAAAAAAAAGAGATGGGTTTTTCTAATTCTTCTCCCCATACGTTTACTACTGAATCACCTCTGAAACTCAATTCAAAAGAATGCTAAAATAAGGTGGGGCCTGGGAGACACTCTGGGTTCAATACCAGCCTGGTGAGCTTCTTTTCTGTCCGGTAGCCTTCCAAATCTTATCCTACCTCTGGACCCAGCCTCAACCCCAACATGAAGCCAGCTGAGCACTAGGCAAGGAACTCGAAGTCATTCTTGACGAAGAGCCATGTTGACCTATCTTTCTAGGAATATCTCAATTCAAATATTACTCTGTATCAGTCTCAATACTTGGTATTAGTACTCTGAGTAAGCATAAAAAGTGTCAGATGAGAAAGAGCTATGCCACCATCGCACTATCTCCCAGATCTCCTGGACAGTCCCATATATCTGACTTCCTTTCAGAGGATGTGCCGTGATCTTAGTACTTGTACTCGGTCAACATCGGAAGCTTTACCTGCTCAAATCTCTGCCAACTACACAATTCCCAGCAGCTCCACACACTAATTGGACTCCCCTTCGCCTACTCCCAGGACCCTCACTAACTGTCTAAGCCCTGATGGATCCGTCTAGCCTCAGCAATCAGGACACACCCGGACCAGTGGGTTACAAAATACATGACTGGTAGTTGCAGATGCCTAGTTACCCCAGGTTTGAAAAGACAAACCATAGTACCTCACACACCGAGTTCAATGATCTCCCTCCACATTCATCAAGGGAACACTACACTTCCTTAGAAAGTCAGAGTGTGTGCTACACTGCTTCACCAGAACAAGACCAAAAGCAGCTTCAATTATGGCACAACTGTGTGAAAACACAATGCGAAATCACTCAAGAATGCTTACTCAAATGGATTTTTACCATGGTAAATAAAAAACCCAACAAGGTATAAAAGAATATGATCACAATGTCTCTTGGGGAAAAAAAAAAACAAAACCCAGTAATATTGTCTGTGCATACATATAAAAAAAAAAGACATAATCTAAAATGTTAACGTTAAGTTGAAGTGGTATTACACATGGCACTAATTTTGTCTGTTTTCTGTATTTTTAAAAGTTCATGAAAAAATAGGCATTGCTTTTGTCATTTTACTGTTATTTTAAAAGTATTCCATGGAGTAAATGAACATATAAAAAATACAATGTAGCACAGGTTACTACATTATTTAGGAGTAAAAAATCAGAAACCAAAAGGAATGAATAAACACATTATATTCATGGCCAGGCCTGGTGGCTCCCGCCCGTAAGGCCAGAGGATCGCTTGAGACCAGCTTGAACAAGATGGTGAAACCATCTCTACAAAGAAATAAAATACGTAATAAAAAAAAAGCAAATTATAATTTGGTCATTTTCTGTGGGTGTGTACATGTGTGTGTGTGTGTGTATTTTTTTTTTCTTTCTAGAGATAGGGTCTCATTCTGTTGCCCAGGCTGGAGTGCAATGGCAGGATTCTAGCTCACTGCAGCCTCAAACTCCTGGGCTCAAGTGATTCTCCCACCTCACCCTCCCAAGAAGCTAGGACTACAGGTGCATGCCACCATGCCTGGCTAATTTTTTAATTTTTTGGTAGAGATGGAGTCCTGTTATGTTGTCCAGGCTGATATTTAGTATAATTTTAATTAATGTCATCAGTAGAAAAAAAGACAACAAATATGTCAAACTGCTTTTGAATGCTAGGACCGTGAATAATTCTCTTAGTACCTAAAAATTTTCTATAATTATAAAAACTAAGTTCAAGGCATATCTGGAAATACATTTAAAACCTCAAATTGTTGGCCAAGCACGGTGGCTCACGCCTTAATCCCAGCACTTTGGGAGGCCGAGGCAGGCAGATCACTAGGTCAGGAGATTGAGACCATCCTGGCTAACACAGTGAAACCCCATCTCTACCAAAAATACAAAAAATTAGCTGGGCGTGGTGGCGGGCCAGCTGCTTGGGAGGCTGAGGCAGAAGAATGGTGTGAACCCAGGAGGCGGAGCTTGCAGTGAGCAGAGATCGCGCCACTGCACTCCAGCCTGGGCGACAGAGCAAGACTCGTCTCGAAAAAGGACAGAAGGGCAAAAAAGAAATGGGTGCAGGGGACATGGAGAGGTGGTCAGGGACATGGATATGGGCACAAGTAAGAAAGAAGAAAAGGAAAGAGAGGAGGAAGTTCTTGGCACAGAACTAGTCCTTCTCTACCCTTGATTTATTCTCAAGAAATAAGAAAGTACATTTTGTTTTGATAGTCACTTAACAGCAACATGAACTGGCAGGTAGGAGAGCGGAGTCAGTCGAAACAGCTGCCAAAGCAGGGGTCATGGAGAAGCACAAAAGGCAGGCAACACACAGACTGTATGTACTCCACAACAAAGGTGCCACTATTAATCTCAAAGCACAGTGGATCAGTGAGTCGGGCTTATGAACGTTCCAAAGTCTTTTTCATTTCTGACCACATTGTGAGTATGGGTTAATCAAATTCATCGCCTAAATATTTAGTGTAAGGCTTTATGCAATGAGTCCTCAAATGCATGTTGCTGAGCCACTGACAGCAGGAAAACAAGCTACTTCCCACCGAGAAGCCGCTAACCAGTTTACAGCCTGTAACACGTATCACTGTAATTCTGGGTCCTAACAAAAACCTTTTTCATAAAAATGGGTACCAGTCAGGAAGACCCAAATGCATATTAGGGAAGTAATTATCTATTAGTCTCTAGGATACTGATAAAGAAAGGGGCTTCCATGTCAAAATTTCTAAATATTCAAGAGGCCTTGCATAGCCCAAGGTGCCTGTTACGGTCATTATTTCGAAACTAAAAGCAGACGCGGCCTCTTCTGATTCAGAAAGCACACACACACACGTTTCACTCTGACTGCTGACAATTCAAGCCCATGCACAGTACATGCTTCCTTGGGAATACCTCTCGTGTACACACTCTGGCAGGGCCAGGCCTACAGGGGCATCCTGTTGCCTTCAATGCTGAACTTGACAGCACGATGCACTTTGCTGAGTCGTTTCTGTTCTGCAAATCGCCTCTTATGCTTTTCCAATCGGCTTAGGCCCTTTTTAAGAATACCAGGCTAGAAGCAGTAGTTTGATTGGAGAATAAAAAGAGATTACGGAGAAACACTGAAGATCTACTGAGCAGTATTTACAGTGATAACAGAGTAAGCGTCTACCCTAATTATTGCCAACGGAATTGCTTAAACTGTCTAAGAGAAAGGGAGAGGTAGGTCTGCTGAAGCATGTAAGCTCTGTTTCTCATGGTTATTAAAAAAAAAATTCACTGTATCAGAATACACCAGGTTTCAATTTCAAGCCTCACTTGAAGGGATTAATAAAAACAAACTTCTCTACCTGATAATGTTGCATTAGGTCTGAAGAAAAGTTCATCAGCAATAAACTTTAATCCTGGGTAAGACTTTTCCTTTCTCTATTGCTCAATTTGTGGTTTGGCTAGATAAGCGACCAGAAAACAGTCCTCTCTGAATCAGACAAGCCTTAAGAGCTACAAGGGTTATTAACGCATGAAGTAAAGAGTAAAATAGTAATCTGCAGGTGAGATCCACCTTGCCGATCCTCCACTTGCTTACCCTGGATGACTCCATTTCCACATTCCATTTGGGCCTGACCACATAGTCCTTGTTTGAGGGCATTGGGACCCTTGCCCGGGCACAGAATCCAGGATCTCCAGGTCTAAGAGCCCTGAAAAAGGGAAGAGGAAGAGCATGTTGCTTATGTGGCCAACCACACTGGGGCACACAGGCCATTTCACACTACTGTTTCTACATCCACCCATTCAGCTGCAATGTTCGAAACTGCTCTGCTCCCCACCTCAGGTCACCCCATCCACCCTCTTGCCGCCTCTCAGCTAGCCTGTCACCACACACACTCCAGTGTGCATTCCTTGCTTCTCTTCCAAAGCCAACTTGCTCTGCATCTGCATGAATCATTTTCTCCTCTCCTCAGCTTCAGATATACTCATGCCCCTCTGCCTTCCAAGGCTAGTCCCACCAGCATGAATCCCCTTTTCTCTTGTCTAGTGGAGTCACTCATGAGTTCACTTGTGAGATGAGGAACTGTGAAGAACTGAGTCGTCAAATGACCCCCCAAAACTCTCAGTATGCCCATAAAGTAGTTTTTCAATATACAACTCCTACAGTAATTTTTAATGTTTATTTTTGTAAAAATCTTTTGAAGATAATTACAGATTCAAATGAAGTTGTAAGAAATGATAGAGAGATCCAATGTCTCTCCCAATAGTAACAACTTGCAAATCTACAGTATAGTATCACAACCAGGATACTGATGTTGATACAGTACACAGATCTCATTTACACTTCCCCAGTTTCACTTGAACTCATTTATGTGTATGTATTTAGTTCTATGCAAATCCATGGGCAACCATGCTAGACTAAAATAAGATTACTAACCTTCCAAAGTAAAGCCTATCTATAGATGCCTGGGCATTCAAACCATTCAGCCTTTAGGTAACTAATAAAGAGCGGATCTATGTGTGTCTATTGGGGATGGGGAGAGAAGGGTAAAAAATTCTCAATTGTTTCTATTCTCTTGTACAGTTTACCCCATTTTTAACCTTAGACTTTTTTTTTTTTTTTTGAGACAGAGTCTCGCTCTGGTGCCCAGGCTGGAGTGCAGTGGCATGATCTCAGCTCATGCAAGCTCCGCCTCCCAGGTTTGTGCCATTCTCCTGCCTCAGCCTCCCAAGTAGCTGGGACTACAGGTGCCTGCCACCACGCCCAGCTAATTTTTTGTATTTTTAGTACAGATGGGGTTTCTCCATGTTAGCCAGGATGGTCTCGATCTCCTGACCTCCTGATCCGCCTGCCTCAGCCTCCCAAAGTGTTGGGATTATAGGCGTGAGCCACCGTGCCCAGCCAACCTTAAACTTTTATAACCTTCATATACGTATGAACAGGTTAATTGGCTTGCCAAGAAAATTCCCTGTAACTCTTACTTTCCTTCTGAAGCACGGCCTCATCATCAACTTCCTTCTTAAACAAACTTGCTTCCTCTGGCTCATCCCCTATTCTCCTCTTGCAATCTGGATGCTGCCTGACTACCAACTCACCTGCACAAAGCCTTCTGCAGCACCTGCCACTGGCCCATGCTTTTGCCATTGCCACCTCCAGCTCAGCCTCATTCCCCTCCAGGCTCTGCTCCAACACATAGGACCACAGCTGCTCATTCACCTTCACTGGCTACTCTGCCTGGCTATGCCCCCTTTCAAAATGGTTTAGTTCATTTCTTTATACTTTCTTGACTGAACAATCTTTTCTATGGAGAGAACCATCAAATCTAGGTCTCTAGCCCAAACATCTCTTTACAAGTTCTAGACCCGTAATATTTACAGGACTATCTCACTGGGCATCTCACATTTAATATGCTCAAAAGAGAACTTGCCTGTTTCCTCAAATCCACTTCTCCCTCCATTTTGGTGAAAGGTAATGACACTGTCTCAGCACTTAGGTTAAAATTTTGGCTGAAGTCTTTAACTCTAGACATCTTGTCTCCCACTAAGTCACCAACATATGACAGCTTTGCCTCTGCAATATCTTCTCACCCCTTTGTTCCCCGACTACCACCTCTGTTTAGCTGTACCACTGCCCTCCAACCCATCCTACACGATGCCATTGGCATCAGCATCCTAAATCAAATCAAACCAGATGGTTTCGCATCCAGTCTCAAAAACTTTCTGTGGAATCACAAGGCATGCAAAAATTCCTCATCTTGATTCAAAGCCCTTCACTGGTCTATTATTTCCAACCTTATCAGGCCCCATACTACTGTCCAACCCCTTCAGTCTACTTGCCATTCCAAACACAGACCTGGCACACTTACCCCATGGCTTTACCAAAGACCTCCCTTTGCCTATCATCCTTGTACAGACTTATACTTTTTGAGAGCATAGACTATTTTTAATTTGTTTTTAAATTCTCAGATCACAACAAGAATCTAGCACTTAGCAAGCAGCAAAAAATCTTTGAATGAAGTATTTTCTCAATTTTCCTTACATCCCCAGAGTACCCAATACAATGCTTTGTAGATATTAAACGTTAAAATGAAAGTCACCTCCAGTGAATGAGAACATAACATCATTTCATTTACTACTTTTCTTAAAGCAGCAAACGGAAATTCTCTACATAGTCTAGGAAGAAAACTTAACATTAAAACCTTACTTCTCCTCTCCTGTCAGCACCTTTTCCAGGTCTCTCCTGGGTGTCTGACCACCAGTGCTGGAAAAAAAGTAAACAAGGAGATACCAGGAATATTAGAACCTAATAACTAAGAAAAAGAGCAAACTAAAATATCAAACTTAGATCATAACTATTAATAGCTCTTTTACGATGGATCAGGGAAAATAACTCCTAATCTTTAAAAAGTACTACTCATTTTTGTATTCATCTGCATAACAGGTTTCCTTGTGGGTGAGCCGTAATTGCCATATTTAAAACTAATGACCCTGTCCTCCTAGATGCAACTGTATGTCCACTATATTGATACAAACCAAACCTATAACATTTTTTATTCTACGAACTCAGAAATGGGACCCAGAAAGTTGTTTTCTGCAAGTGGCTGGAACAACACAAGCAATCAGTATCGTGAAAGAGGCTCTGTTCCAACAAACTGACCCAGAAAGGTCTGGTTAGGAGGACAGGACCCTGACTATACACTATCACATTTAAACTAAAAGGATATTGTGAATTATGTAGATATATCAAGCTGAGAGGAAAGGAAATTCTATCATCTTGCAGGTTTCCTAATGATCTTACTTAAAACTGAGTTACTACAACAATAACATGTATTCCACTTACTCATACCTGTTCCCTCATACCTGTTCATTCTTCGTCGTTGAGGCATCTGTTCTAGATCTCTCTGCTCCCTTTCTTCTCTTGTCATTCCTTTGTAGTTGGAGGTAAGACCAAATATAGGCCTAGACCACTCATCTGTAGCAAGAAAAAAATCAATTATTTTGTCCATAAAATTGCATTTCCCCTATCATTTTTTTCAAATAATTGCACCCTAGTGTGAGGGGATATTCTAGACATTTAGAATATTCTTTCCTTGAAGAGCCCATTATTTCAGAAGAATTTAGAGGATAAACAAAGCAAAATGCCAGTATCGTGACTAACTCTGGCTGATTCAGAAAATTTAATGTAAAAGATCACCACAGAGATTTAAAGAAAGTAACATGTGACACACTTTGATAGTCAACAATTAGCTGGATTGACATTTCATAAAAGACATTTATTTAAAATTTTTATTTATTTTAAAAGGTAAACTAATTTCTAAGTTTACTGGAAATACAAAGTCTTGAAATTCTGCTTTCTTATCCTAACCCAAAACAAGCTCCCTCACCACTACCTTACAAAATGGTCTGTATCTGTAAAAACTACAGTTTAACAGTACGGATGGAGACTCTGTACTTCATTAAGTCTAATATAGCTGCTACAATGACCATGAAAGAAAGTACATGCCACTGCTCAGTCAGTCAAAGTCCAGGAGCCAACTGATGCCTTTGTTCTGAGACATAATGTGGCTCACCGCTACATTTAATACACTCTACAAATGAGAAAGGACCTTTATAGACCGAACATGGCTGCTGTCACACAAAGAAGGAAGCAGGGTTCTCGGGGGGGTCTACCATCTTTTACAATCGCCCCACTGACCCCACTTATGGATTCAGAATCGCTGCTAGAGTAAGTCATGGACACCAGGAGGGATATTCTGCTTTTCTCAGTCTGGGGCAAAAAAAGAAAGTTGCAAACCCACTGCATAAAAGCACCAAAAGTTTATCACTTAATAGGCAGTAAACTGCAGACTACTAACAAGATCAAAGACAGCAGTATATCTCTGTTTTATAGAAGAAATTTACATTTCTCTAAAAGCTTTTGACAAACTTAGCAATTCAAAAGAAAAATAATTATTATATTCAAATGTAGTAGTTACTTTTTCAATCTAGCCTTGAAGTTCTTAAAATTCCTTTTCAACATGGAGCATAGGAAGAGTTAAGAAGGATAACAAAAATGAACACGGGTTTCATTCTTAAAACTGAATAATTTCACAAACAATATGCTTGATCACATAAATTTTGGTTTAGACTTCCCTGGATTTCTCTGGCATCATTAAATAAGAACGTGCAAAAAGGTTTTGGAGACCAATGTGCAAGCAACAACAACAACGGGGGCTGTTTCTTGAGTACTTACTATGTGCCAGGCACCATGCTTTAGACACAACCTCTCATTTAATCTTTAAAGTCACCCAGAAGAAAACACATAATTATCTCAATTTTACAGAGCACAAATCACTAGCTAAGGAAATGCAGTAAGGTGGGTGGTGGATTCATGATCTGAATCCAGGTAATATCAACACCACAGCCTACAATCTAACCCGTCTCTCTCCATGCTCTCGACCCATGACTAGAAAATGCATACTTTTTACTTGCAATTTTTTTTTTTTTTTTTTTTTTTGAGACTGAGTCTCACTCTTGTTGCCCAGGCTGGAGTGCAGAGGCACGATCTCGGCTCACTGCAAGCTCCGCCTCCCGGGTTCCCGCCATTCTCCTGCCTCAGCCTCCCAAGTAGCTGGGACTACAGGTGCTGCCACCTCGCCCGGCTAATTTTTTGTATTTTTAGTAGAGACGGGGTTTCACCATGTTAGCCAGGATGGTCTCGATCTCCTGACCGCGTGAACCGCCCACCTCAGCCTCCAAAGTGCTGGGATTACAGGCATTAAGCCACTGCACCCAGCCTTACTCGCTATTTTTAATAATGAATAGTATACTTAATTAGACTGAGAAGGTTTGTTTTGTTTTGTTTTTTAAAGTTTAAGAGAAAAGGCCGGTACCTATAAGAAGCTATTCAAAAATTTCTATTCCACTTTACTGACTCATTCAAAACAAATACTAGTAAAAATACAGCTTTTATATACACGCATCTCTCTCTTATCTACAGACAGAAACACAACAAACGAGAAGGAAAATGTACATACTGATTAATTTCCCTGCCATGTCCTTGTTGGACCTTGATTCCTTGGGGTGTTTATAGAGATACATCACTGCTCGTCCAATCCCACTATGCTTCAGGGTCTCCTGGCTCACACTAGGCAGCTGGGGAACATAAACACATACACACACATTAATCACTCAGAAGCTGGGGGTCTTGCTAATCTATACTAGAGACCTGGCGCCTTCACAATAGTACAAATAAAAAATTCCATTTTCAGGATCTACAGAAATAGAGCACAAAGATAACTTTGTGTCCACATCAAAAGTTCAGAGTTCAGGCCGCGCACGGTGGCTCACGCTTGTAATCCCAGCACTTTGGGAGGCTGAGGCAGGTGGATCACCTGAGGTCAGGAGTTCAAGACCAGCCTGGCCAACATGTGG